ACACTGGAGCGAGCTCTGGGGCTGGAGCTGACACTGGAGCGAGCTCTGGGGCTGGAGCTGACACTGGAGCGAGCTCTGGGGCTGGAGCCAACACTGGAGTGAGCTCTGGGGCTGGAGCCGACCGCCTTCTCCTCCTTAGATTCCCCTTTAGGTTCGGGGTGAAAGGCGTGGTCGGCGGGCTTGAGTGAGGAACCGCCGGCGAGCTGGAGAGTGCCGCGGCCAGCGGGCTTGACTGAGGAATGGCCGGTGGGCTGGAGAGAGCCACGGCCGGCGGGCTTGGTGTAAGAACTCACCACTGGACTGTTAATTTACCTCCTGGTCAACAGGTGGCGCCTCTCTCCAGGTTCCTGCTGATTACTAACATTCATTAAGCCTGATGTGAGACACCTGTGTTTAGCCCTATATAAGTGGGTTATGTCATGCTTTATTGTTCAGTCTTGAGCCTATGTTACCAGTTGCCTGCTGAAAGCTAAGTCTGTTTTGTTGAAGTTCTTTGACTCTAGTTTCTGCTTTTCTCAGTTTTTTGAAGCGCTGCTTCTTTTGTTTTTGTTGCACTTTTCTTCAGTAAAGATTGCCTTTTGCTGGAGATCAATGACTCCCTGTTTTTTGCTACCTCTGCTCTTGGATTCTTTAATTGGGGAGTTAGCTCAATCAGTAAACTCAGTAACTTTGAACGTGAGAGACCTGGGTTTGATCCCCATCTAGAACAACCCCGCTACACTTGGCTTTGGAACGGCCGGTGGGCTGGAGAGTGCCGCGGCCGGCAGGCTTGACTGAGGAACGGCCGGTGGGCTGGAGAGTGCCGCAGCCGGCGGGCTTGACTGAGGAACAGCCGGTGGGCTGGAGAGTGCCGCGGCCGGAAGGGCTAGTTCTGGCATTTGAGTTTTAGTTTTAGTCTGGCACCCAGACACCGGTAGATCCCTTCCCTCCAGCATAGTCCCTTGGTGTCTGGGAGGTCCATGGGGCGATGGTAGTTGGCCCTGAGCCAGAACAGAGAATTGATGGTGGCGTCATCCAATGACGTCGCCACAGCGAGTCCGCAGAATTCCCAGGCGTACTCGAAGAAGGGGAGCTCTCTATAGGCTAGAGCAATAAAACGAGCTGCGATTTCCATGGCGCAGGGAGAAACAAACTGGAAAACAAAAACACTTTCTAAAACGAAAAAAAAAACACGGGGAGAAGAGGCGCTGCTCACTGTTTTGGTCCGGAATTCTGTCTCTTTCCTCACATACAAAATACAGGAAAATAGCTTTTTTTGTGTGTTCCATTTTTTTTCATTCATTCATGTCTAATCCATAGTATACTACAATACATGCTGGTGTGTTTAGTGTCACTGTACAATAATAATAATAACTGATCTCTCTTCCTTTTCTTCACAGGGGTGTATTAGGAAAGCAAGGGTATCAGTGCCAAGGTAGGCAAATACCTACAGTATATTTCTCTGTCAGATGTTATGTTCATCAGCTTAGACAATTTGTTAGCTCATCAAAAATGTTAGCTACTCTAAATCTAAAGCAACAAAACACCTTAGGAACATCATCTTCATCATGTAGGACTTTTCCATACACCAACAGTTCAAAGTGAACGGTTTAGCTAACAACACCATAAAGCACCATGATGACTCATTATATTCCACAGATTTTCTTCAAAGTTCTCTGTTTTCCACAGAATAAAATAACACCATGCATGTGTGTTTTCTGCGTAAATAGTGACAAGTTTTATTTTTAGATGAACTGTTCCTTTAAGTGGTGACTAGCTCACAATCTGAAATGAAGGAAACTACTGGCATGGACAGGAACCTCCTAAAATATCATCTATATTTTAGCCCAAGCATTCTTATCTGTGAGCCCAGAGTAATATATCAGAAAGTGAAGTAAAGCTGATTTCATCTCCTGCTTGTTTCTGTTGATCAGTGTGCACCTGTGTAGTTCATAAACGCTGCCATGAGCTGATCATCACGAAATGTGCAGGTCTGAAGAAACAGGAGGACACCACAGAGGAGGTGAGAGGAACCTGCAGAAAATCACATATGATGTCTCACGTTTAATTTCTCAGTTATCACTAATGAGAGTAGAATATAACGTTTTGCTTAGGTTTCCTGCGTGTTTCTCCTGAGAAAAAAAGAACCCATAAATCTCAAACATCTCCTCTATAGTTTTGAACTGTGAACAAAAATGATTGGAAAACAATGTCAGTGATTTCAATATGAGGGTCAGAGACGAGATGTCTCAGTTTGGTGTCCACATCAAATTAAATTTACAAAAGTGATTTTATATACATAGAAAGCATTTTAAATGCAAGGAAAGTGTCTGCTTTAATGTTTCAAATAACTTTTGTGAAAATAAAATGTCAAATTATGGGTCAAATAATGTTCCATCGTCATTCAGTGTAACAGATATTTATGTAAAAATTTAAAAAATGCTTATTATGACCTGTAGGCTACTTATCAAAATATATAAAGTGATCATACTAAATTTTATTATAATTTAAATATTTGAAAAGTTTTTGCTGACAAATGGGTAAAACCCAGTGGTTTGAAGGATAGTTGCAAAGATTGGTAAAGATTTAATTAGTTTTTTAATGTCATCTAATGATTCCTGTTCTAAACATGCCTGACAAGATTTTTTTGTAAATGAACTGTTACAACGAATGACATGGTAAATAATGGTAAAAAAAAGTATGATAGTATTTTTGCTCAGAAACAGGACACTTTCTAATGTACAGAAGAAGAAAAATCATGCTTGAAAAGTTCAGTTATGCTATTCATGTTTATTTTAAAGCACGTGAACAATGTAATATTTTTCTACTTAATTTTAGGAAATATCCAGTAAATATTCTGAGCTAAAGAGCAACACCTCAAAAATAAATCTTGCCTCTGGCATGGAGTGTTTTGACTGCTAAAAACGGTGTAATCTTTATCATAGATGTAAATGCCCACAGTTGTAAGATCATAATCATGTTTTATGATTATAATTTATTTATTTATTTTGGTTTGGATGTGCGTTTGTTAAGTAAATAAATAAATAAAAAATCACTGCATTTTGCAGCTTCACTTCTTTAAAAATCGCTGCATAACTGTCTTCCTGATCCTCTATCGCCCCCTCCAGGTGGGATCTCAGCGCTTCAGCGTCAATATGCCTCATAAGTTCAGTATTCACAACTACAGAGTCCTGACATTCTGTGACCACTGCGGTTCATTACTGTGGGGCCTCCTGCGGCAAGGACTCCAGTGCAAAGGTGAGAGTGGCATTCTGGGAAATGTAGTTAAAGAGTTCTCACAGCAAAAGCTTGAAAAATCAGGGACATTTAAATTAATTGATGATTTAATGGAATTTGTATAGAATTTTCTGTTGTCAATGCACATTTTTCTAGTGCTAAAATTTTAGTAGTCTGTTGTGTGGTTTCGTCATTTTTATTATTTTTACATGTGTTTTTTTTTAATCATTTTTTATTTCATTTTTATGTTTAGTTCCGTTTTTAAATTTTATTTTAAGTAATTTTTAATTAATAGCTCTGGTTTTGATTTTAGTTTTAGTTAATATCAATGCTATAACACTGAATCTTCCAAGATTCACGCATACTCACACTGCCATGCATTGAAATACAGTACATTGTAACTTCTCATGCCGTCTCCCTTCATTTATCTGTCCTCAGTTTGTAAGATGAATGTGCACAAGCGTTGTGAAAGTAATGTAGCTCCTAATTGTGGGGTGGACGCCAGGGGCATCGCTAAGGTGCTGTCTGACCTCGGAGTCACTCCAGATAAAAACTGTCTTCCTGATCCTCTATCGCCCCCTCCAGGTGGGATCTCAGCGCTTCAGCGTCAATATGCCTCATAAGTTCAGTATTCACAACTACAGAGTCCTGACATTCTGTGACCACTGCGGTTCATTACTGTGGGGCCTCCTGCGGCAAGGACTCCAGTGCAAAGGTGAGAGTGGCATTCTGGGAAATGTAGTTAAAGAGTTCTCACAGCAAAAGCTTGAAAAATCAGGGACATTTAAATTAATTGATGATTTAATGGAATTTGTATAGAATTTTCTGTTGTCAATGCACATTTTTCTAGTGCTAAAATTTTAGTAGTCTGTTGTGTGGTTTCGTCATTTTTATTATTTTTACATGTGTTTTTTTTTAATCATTTTTTATTTCATTTTTATTTTTTTGTTTTAGTTATTTCAGTACAGCAACTTTGAATGAAAATGGGAAATGTTGCCTTGGCTCCAGATAAACTCTCCGGCAGCGTCCAGAGGAGAAAAAAGGTGAGAGGGAGAATCATGGGTGATTAGAGTCTGCACTAGACACTAGCATATAGGACTGAGAGGTCAAAAGCCTCCTCCATGCAGCTGTAGATAATAGGAAATACACTCTGATGATTACTAATGACATAATGGTCTTTATAGCGAGCAGCACTTAGGTACCAGATTAGGCCTCCTGAAACATAATGATGATTGAATGATGAAGATGATTTGTTGCTGTTTTTAACGCAGATCTCTCAGGGTCCAGATCCGCAGCCCTTACCCATATCCCCGCAGTTAGAAGAGGATCGATCCAAATCTGCACCCACATCACCATGTGACCAGGGTAAACACACACTCTGAGCTCTGCAGATTTTGTGTTATACACAACTTTATGTGGCAGACGTTTGATTACCACGTAAAATTATTTTGGCTTGTCCTTAAAGGGATAGTCAAACCAAAAATGAAAATTCTGTCATTTACTCACCCTCATGTCATTCTAAACCTGTAAGACTGACTTTCTTCAGCGAAATATAATATAAGATGAATAATGTTGGTTAGAACACAGATTTGGTTCCCAATGACTTCCATTGAATTTTTTGTCCATACAATGGAAGCCAGTGGTTAACTATTTGGTTACCAAAATACTTCAAGATATCTGCTTTTGTGTTCAGCAGCAGAAACAAACCCATACAGGTTTAGAACAACATGAGGGTGAGTAAATGATGACAGCATTATTGATTTTGGTATGCCTTTAATTTTATAATGCATTTAAAATGGAAGTCCATGAGGACTTTGTACCAAAATGTGAAGCTTGTATTTTGCCATGCAATGGCTTTGTGTGACAAACAAACTGAATTTTCATTGTTGTCAATGAAATCAGCTAGCTAATGGTCTAAAACAGCCATATATGTTTAAAAGCTACTGCTTTTATTATTCTTTTATGGTGCTTTATTATCATTTTATTGTCATTTTTATTCATTATACGGAAATGAACGGCTAGGATATTTCAACTCTAATTCAACTCTAGTTCAATGCATAAAAACATCACATGAGTTTGACAACCAGTGCTTTACAAATATGTGATTTCTGATATTCATCACATGACTATATAACTTTAGACAGGCAAGGTTAGAAAGTAGTTTTATCACACTAGTCAGTGGCTATACACTACAATTCAAAAGTTTTGGAGTCAGTAAGATTGTTTGGTTTTAAGTCTCTTATGCTTCCCAATACTGAATTAATGTGATCAAAAACACAGTAATATTGTGAAATATTATTACAGTTTTAAGTAAGTGTTGTCTATTTGAATATATTTTCAAATTTAATTTTTTCCTGTGATGCAAAGCTGTATTTTCAGCATCATTGCTCCAGTCTTCAGTGCAGGGCCGTTTCTAGCCAATTTGACGCCCTAGGCGAAATCCCTATTGCCCCATTATTTGTAAATTGACTGTTAAGATAAGCATTTTGCACAATTTAGTATCTGTAATATCATTGTGTTGCCACTAGATGCCTGTATAGCCCTATGTAACAATCCCTAGTGGCTAAGACGGTGGTTCTCAACCCGCGGCCCGTCACGAATTCAAATGAGGCCCACCGTGCTGAACACAATAAAAAAAACTTTCAGTTTTACAATTCATTTTAGTTTTTACATTAATTAAAAAATGTACTAAATAAATATAAGCTATAGCCTAATGTTTTTATGTAAAATAATTTAGTTTTTCATATATTATTTTCAGACATGAGCAGTACTCACATAGCCTAATTAACGTTACGCATTTAAAGTAACGACCAAGTGGCCAGCGGCAGACAGTGAGCATATGTTTGATCAATTTAGCATCGATTAGATATCATAATATTTAGGCTATAATATTATAAATCAGGTTGGTTTGTATTGCTGACGTAATATGTATCCAGTGGGGGCGGCAGTCATATTTCAGGGTGACCGTGCCACCCTTTATCACAACCCTGCTAAAAGTGCCAGTACGTGCGCTCATTGGCGCCCCTTCAGCTGGTGGCGCCCTAGGCGACCGCCTAGCTCGCCTATGCCTAGAAACGGCCCTGCTTCAGTGTCACATGATCCTTCAGAAATCATTCTGATATGATTATTTGCTGCTCAAGAAACATATCATAATGTCATCAAATTTAAAAACAGCTGTGCTGTGTAAATATTATTTAGTGTAAATATTCTTTGATGAGTAGAAAGTTCAAAATAACAGCATTTATTTGAAATAGAAATCTTTTGCAATATTACCAATGTCTTTTCTGTCACTTTTGAGCAATGCAATGCATCCTTGCTGAATAAAAGCATAAACAAATTCTACAGTATCACACTTTCAAAACTGGAAACACACTTTTATTGTACATGCATTACAGTAAACATGCTTGTTTGTTTTTAGAACTGAAGGAGGAGACAATGTGGGGTCTGAAAGTGTGTAATGCGATTTGGCTTTTTGTTTTGTGATCTGCAGATATAAAGGACCTGGAGAACTTCAGAAAGGTACTTTCGTTTGACCATCGCGGTGAGGAGCTGAAGCCAGCCTCGTCCTCCTCTCTGTCCGAGGCCAGAGAGAACGGAGAGGTGAAGACGCTCCAGACCAAAAGGATGACGCTGGAAGACTTCTCCTTCATCAAAGTGCTCGGGAAAGGCAGCTTCGGCAAGGTGGAGCTTTGTGATATTCTGTCCTCTATTTTTAGGATTATGTGTCAGCTTTGTTTCCTGTCAGCGGTGTAACTAGTAGTTTGGTTTGTAATAAAGGCTCAGTTGTTTTGTGTTCAGGTGTTGCTGGCAGAGTTAAGAGGCACTGATGAGGTTTATGCGGTGAAAGTGTTGAAGAAAGACGTGATCCTGCAGGACGATGACGTGGACTGCACTATGACTGAGAAACGCATTCTAGCGCTGGCCAGAAAGCACCCTTACCTGACCCAACTCTACTGCTGCTTTCAGACCAAGGTAAGAGACAGCGTTTCAGCTCATCCTCATTACAAACTCTAAAATAACGAGCAAAATGGACAATGAACCAGTCAGTCACCAAGATATTATGCTTCTTTAGAAATGATGTTTTGCAGACTGCCTCTAGATGGAGCTCTAATATTACATGCTGTCAGGTATTCAGAAAGCAACTCTTGATTTGTCCCACTTTTAGAGATCCGACAGCAGTTTAGCTCTTTATCTGAAGAGGGCAAGATTGTGGCTGGGGGAATAGCCACAAAAATAGGTCCATTCATCAAGAATATGGACATATTTTAGTCATTTAGTCTTAAATGTTTAAATTTGGATAGTCAGGTTTCCAGCCAACAAGGCGTTTAATTAAAATGAAAACCAGCCATTAAAACAGAAATAGGTTCTTATATTGAAAATAAATTAATACAATAAACCAAAAGTAAACTTTTAAAATTAGTTGCCATAGTTTTGTGCCTCGAAATGTAAATAAAATATGAATAAAAAAATATGTATGTGGGTCAAAGACGTTAAGATGTCCGCATCAAAAGAAATAAATATGTCATAAATTGATGTTTGTTGTAAATATCCCTGACAAGATTGTTACACTGAATGACATTTTAGTGGGTCTCTTCTGTAAATCAGGGGAAGGTCTTACGGGTTTGAAACGACATGAGGGTGAGTCATTAATGACAGAATTTAAATTTTTGGGTGAACTAACCCTTTAAACCCTTTGTAGTCTTTGACCCATGTATTGATGCACTTACATTTCTTCTTGTTATTATAAGATATTTTAAAAAGCACTTTAACCTACATGTACTTTTTTTAATTCCCTAAAATAACTGACATTAACCAAGAAAAAAACAGGTTTCCAAAATAATTGATCTACCAAATAAAGCCAGACTAATTAAATAAAAGCATACAGATAAAAGTAATAAATCCAAAAACTAAAAATATGTAATAATAATAATAGTAATGATTATTATTATTGTGTAACCCTTTTTAAAAATTAAGTTATGTAATTTTAATGAATATAATAGAAACATGTTGGTCTTATTAAGAGCTGAGCTCTATTTGCCTTATTTTAAAATTATTTTCAGGTCTGGAAAAGTCATGAGAATTTCTATACTGACAAATACATATATACCATTATGATCAGCTCTGAAAATAGTTTTTTGTGAATGTGTTCTATATACAATGATGATGATTATTACAAATATTTATCCAATATCAGTCTCAGTCAGATTATTATAGGTGGTAAATTGATTATTTATTGCACTGACTTGTCATAATTCTGAATGTTCTTATTCATTCCGCAAACTGCTACTGGATCAGGCGAACCCTGCAGCTGATCACACACACACACACACACACACACACACAAATGCTTGGTCAGGTTGTCTGTACTTCTGCAAGTGTTCCCTGACACAGAAGGGCAAGCACCTGTTTGAAGGGAACATTTCTTTTATGGTCTATAATAAGCCCATCAGATAAACACTCCACATTAGGTCACCATTCTAATTCTCGGTCAGTTTCTCTCGGTCTGCTGGTGTGATAATTGTTTTAGATGGAGCCGTCTGTTTGAGAATAGCAGTTGCAGCCAGGCCTAACCTCACATGAACATCATGTTTATTTTCCTCCACTAAAACCTGGAGTCAGCCATCATGACGGCATTCTCTAATTTATTTACTTCTGCAGTTTCCCCAAACAAGCAAAAAGAACATTGTGTCCTTTACTGCGAACATGAGTGGGAGGAGGTGGGGAAGAGGAGGGGAATGAGCGCGGGGAGGAGGAAAAGGCCGAGTGTAGGATGAAAGAAGGTAGAAGATGACCTCTGAAAGCCCTTAAAGATGATAGTATTGATGAGCTTTAACTCAAAGTCACCGTTATTTAATCACTTCTGCTGCATTTATAGGGCGAGTAGAGTGATGACAGATGGGGGAATGAGATCGGGAAATGCATGTGCTGGATAGGTTTATTATAGTTAACTAAAACTGAAACTAAAATTAAAAGGGGACCTATTATGCCAAAATCACTTTTATATTGTTTTTGAACATAATTCTGTGTCCGCAGTGTGTACACAACCACCCTATTGTGGTAAAAACCCATCCACTCAGTTTGTTATTTTCCCCATGAATCAGAAACGGTGTCTCAAAATGAGCCGTTCAGGAATGTACTCCAGTGTGACGTCACATTGGAACAGGCCCCGCCCACGACTGGTAACGACAGCCTTATTAGCTTAGCTCCTCCCCTGAGTGAGCTGTACACAGTCCGCCATGTTTACCTCCTCACTAGACCATTTAAAATCAGCATTTAAGTAAGAAATATATTCTTATAAAGCTACTAATTCATATAATATGAATTGATTCATATTAACAGCATAGACAGTAGGTACTGAACATTACGCTGCTGTCACACAGATCTAATATACACATGCGATTTCTTTCCGAGCTGTTTACATTCACAGACATAACCCACTGTGTTTATGTGAATTTTGTGTGCTTTTGACATAACCTTGTGTGTATTTGACAGTTTAAGCGAAATGAGATGCGAAAGAGAACTTAATTTAGTACTCACGTGATGCACCGTCTGACAGCCAGATCTCTGTGTGCGTGCTTTGTATTTGCATTTAAAGATACACGCACAAAAACAGCAAATGTTTGCTTCTGTTAAAAAAAATGGTCATTTTTAGCATGGTATAATAAATTATCTGTGGGGTATTTTGAGCTGAAACTTCACAGACACATTCTAGGGACAATTGAGACTTATATTACATCTTGTGAAAAGGGGCATAATAGGTGCCCTTTAAAACTATTTAAATACATTTTCATTACTTGAAATAAAATAAACATTAACTGAAATAAAATATGAAAAACTTTTCTCTCAGCTACTTGCCAAGACAAAATTTCTTATTTTAATTTAGTTTAACTTTGATGTACTAAAATAACTAAAACTGAAATAAAAAAGTAATAAAAAAAGATAAATAGACATATATAAAAAAATATATTTAAAAAAAATGACAAACACCCAACAAAATCACAAACTTTTAACTAATTTGAAATGAAAAACAAAAATATAAAAATAAAAACTGACTCAAAATGTAAAAAAAAAAAACTATAAAAGTATACGTCATCTGAAAGCTGAATAAATAATCTTTCCATTGAATATGAAAAACTTTTCTCTCAGCTACTTGCCAAGACAAAATTTCTTATTTTAATTTAGTTTAACTTTGATGTACTAAAATAACTAAAACTAAAACTGAAATAAAAAAGTAATAAAAAAAGATAAATAGACATATATAAAAAAATATATTTAAAAAAATGACAAAAACACCCAACAAAATCACAAACTTTTAACTAATTTGAAATGAAAAACAAAAATATAAAAATAAAAACTGACTCAAAATGTAAAAAAAAAAAACTAAAAAAAGTATACGTCATCTGAAAGCTGAATAAATAATCTTTCCATTGATGTGTGGTTTAAGATAGAACAATATTTGGCCGAGATACAACTATTTGAAAATCTGGAAACATGAGGGTGCAAAAAAATCAAAATATTCAGAAAATCACCTTTAAAGTTGTCCAAATGAAGTCCTTAGCAATGCATATTACTAATAATAAGAAGTTGTTGATATATTTACGGTAGGAAATGTACAAAATATCTTCATTGAACAGGATCTTTGCTTACTGATTTTTGGCATAAAAGAAAAATCGATAATTTTGACCCATACAATGTATTTTTGGCTATTGCTACAAATATACCCGTGCTACTTATGACTGGTTTTGTGCTCCAGGGTCACATATATCATTGGACAGACCAATGGCAATTAATAGAAACTGGGGATAAATGTGACGCTTCTTACGCCAGTAAATTTTTCTCAGGGTGGTTTATTTCAAAAAGGCAAGAACAAATACTAATGTCTTGAATGCAAAAAAAAAAAAAAAAAAAACACTTTTCCACCTTTATTTCTCAAGAAAAAAAAAAACAGCTCTTATACTGTATACTGAATTGTCAGAATGAAATCTGTGCCAACTTTAGGCTTTTCAATTAATATATTTTTTAACTTTTGTGTAAATAAACTTTTTGACTCAAAACCAACTAACTCCTATCCACCTTATCTCTAACATAAGAGCTGGTGTGACCACTGCTATTTGTTATTACATTATCATCATTTATTAACATAATCATAAGCACACTGTTTTGTAGAGTAAATTGTTTTACTGTTTACTGCATTTTGTTGTTCGTCTAGTCATTTACCTATATGAGGATATGCTTTTAATGTCCAGACATAGCAGAAAAACAATATATGATCAGACTCATGCATGACTGAAAATCGTGAAACAGTAATATGTATCCTTTGTATTTTCCACTACATGATTTTTATGATCAGAAGTGTCAGTAAAACATTTATGAAGTTACAAAAGAATTATATTTCTAATGAATGCTGTTTTTTTAAAATTTCGACTGAATGAATCCTGAGGGGAAAAGATGTATCAGTTTCCACAAAATATGAAGCCGCACAAGAAGTTTCAACATTCCTAATAATATGAAATGTTTCTTGAGCAGCAATCAGCATATTAGAATGATTTCTGAAGGATCATATGACACAGAAGACTTAAATTGTGTTTTTGGTGCGAATCAAACAAGAAATGTAGTCTTTTAACCATGCTTAGAAAATATAATTATTGGCATTTATATCTGTAATATTTTGAACCAAAGTTTGTTTATGGAGGGATTTGTTCTTGTGTTTATTTTGTACAAGAAAGTGATTGCCATTAGCCTTACATAATGTGGCTGTGATGCTTATCAGGCCTGATGTGTATTCCATATGCTGTTTGTTTTCTTTTCAACTCTCCCTCACACTCTCTCTCACACACACACACACTCTCTCTCACACACACACATACACTCTCTCTCTATCTCTCACACACACACACACACACACACACACACAGTTCTTGCTTTGGCTCACTTGGACCAAATATTCTGACTAATACAGCAACATCTGATGC